CCCCCTCTCTATCTCTCTATCTCACTCCATCCCTCCCCTTCCACACCACCCCCTCCCTCCTTCCCTCCCTCCTTCCCTTCCTCTCACCTCTGCTTGTTATCCCTTTTTTCTTTCAGGTTAAAACTTTTCCAACGATTTGACTCATTCCGTATATTGATATGTGGTGGAGACGGCAGTGTGGGCTGGGTACTCACGGAAATCGATAAACTTGACCTGCATCGACAGGTAAGTGAGGGCCATCGAGGAACTCAATGTTGGACAGACGAACGAACGTTAACTTCACATTTTCATTTAGTATTTAGCAGGTCTCTGGACTTTGAGTCGGGCTTTCAGGTCTGCGCGCGTGGGATAATAGATTGCTGCAAAAGTCAGTGCGAATAGGCTTCTGACCTGTGTGTTAAATCTACTGTTATAAATATGTTTATATAATTAGTATATTTGTAGTAGTCGTAGTAGTATTAGTAGAAGTCGAAGTAGAAATAATAGTAGTAGTAGCAGTAGCAGTAGTGGTAGTGGTAGTAGTAGTAGTAGTAGTATAGTTATTTATAATTCTATTTTTCTTTGGCGGGAAAATAATGATTATGTCTGTGAGGTATAGAACAAATTCTGAACCCCGCATTCGCATGACGTCACAGCGATCCGAAAAATGGCCCTCGTGGGGTCTGGAGAACACGACTAAATAGTAGGTCAAGTCAGTTCCAGGTGTATGTGTGTGTGTGTGTGTGTGTGTGTGTGTGTGTGTGTGTGTGTGTGTGTGTGTGTGTGTGTGTGGGGGGGGGGGTACTTTTACTGTTACTGTATATTATTTGATAAAAACTTGGTGAGGGAGTGGGTGTTTGGCAGGTGCTCTGGTGTGGTTTGCTCCTTCTTTCCTATCAAACATCTATCGTATATACCTCCGTCCCCTCCTTCATTTTTTGTGTTTGTTACTCTCTTGTAACACCTCTATTCTTCTGCACTTATGTCACCTTATTGTGTTGTTGTGCCGTTAAACCTCTACTAAAACTAAAAACATCTATCGCCTTCTTCTCCCCTCCTTCTTTTTTGTGTTTGTTACTCTCTTGTAACACCTCTATTCTTCTGCACTTATATGACCTTATTGTGTTGCAAGTGCCGTAAAACTCTTACGTGGGTGGTTGGCGGGTGCTTGGTGTGGTTTGCTCCTTCTTTCCCGTCAAACATCCGTCGTCCTTTTCTCCCCTCCTTCTATTTTATGTTTGTTACTCTCTTGTAACACCTCTCATCTTTTGGCGCTCATATTATGACCTTATGCAGTTGCGAGCGACGTAAAACCTCTTCTAAAACTAAACTAAAAAAAAGAAAAGAAATCAAAAAGTGATAGAGAGACGTCTCGTCCACAGTGTCAGATCGGCGTGCTGCCTTTTGGTACGGGCAATGACCTTGCGCGCGTCCTTGGCTGGGGCTCGGCCTTTGATGACGACACACAACTTCCGGCAGCCTTGGAGAGATTGGAGCAGGCGCAGATCAAGATGCTGGACCGGTGGGTTGTTGGGGGTGGGAGAGTTTTTGAGGGCAAGGGG